AAGATAGAGGGAATTACCAGACTGCGTCGGTGAGAAAGTGACTGGAGACGAGGGCCCAAGTCAGGACCGATCACATTGCGTATCCGTTTTTGGATTTTGTCGAGAACCTCGAGATGTACCACGGGGGCACCATACAATATATGGCAACAATATTCAATACATGGACCAATGGTAGATTTGTAGATGTGAAGGATGGACTCAAACAAGAAAAACCTTCTGGCGCAACACAGAGAACCAACTTTTCTTGCAGTAGATGCAGCTATTGATTCAATGTAGTTGTTCCTCCTCAGGCAAGTGGAAAACGTGAGACCAAAGAAGAGGCAGTGAGGCGCTTTCGTATAGTTGATCCTCAACCATGCTGATAGGAAGCAGGGAATTTTCTCTACAGTGAGTACATGACAGCAGTTTCGTTTTGGATGCGTTAAAATTCAAAAGCCATTCCCTGCCCCATTCAACCACAGATTGGATGTCGTTTTCGAGACCAATGGCCAGGTTAACTCTGCCAGTAATTCTGGATTTATCATTGAGACATGAGTAAATGGTAGGGTTTTCTGCGTAGATACCGACTTGAGAACAGATGATGTCAGGAAGATCATTGATGAAGATCAGAAACAGTGTGGGACCAAGGATAGAGCCTTGAGAAACACCAGCGTTCGTATGGAAGGAATTGAAAAAGAACCCGTCAGGGCAACCTTCATTTCACAGTTAGACAGAAATGATTGGATTAAATCAAATAATCGTCTTATAATACTGCATCCCTGAAGCTTACGTAGAAGGCCAGCATGCCAAACTCTGTGAAACGCCTTCGATATATCTAGAGCAACAGCTCGAGCTTCGCCGTTATTATCAAGAGCTTGGTATACATATTCAGTCATGGCAGTAATCACATCAACGGTAGATCGGGCAAAACGGAAACCATATTGTTTGTTAAAGAGCAGATCATGAGAAGTGATATGCTTAACTACTTCGGTATTGTTTAAAGCCTCGAAGACTTTGCCGAAGAGTGGTAGGAGATTGATGGGACGGTAGTTAGATGGGCCAGAAGGGTCTCCAGAGTTCTTAAAGACCGGGATGATAAAGGAGGACTTCCAACAGGCTGAAGAGTAAGAATCAACGAAGCAATAGTTGTATAGTTTGGAGAGAACTGGACCAGCTCAGGGGTACATTTCTTTAGGACTACGGCTGGTATCCCTTCACCCCAACTTACTTTATGAGAGCCTAATTTCAGGATGATGTATAATACCATCGACGTGGTTATGTTTTTTTCACTCAGCATAGCCTCAGTTCTAGGGGGAAAATGAGATGTGGGTACCCCGGATGAGTCGTCTGTTGAGATGGATGAGAATTTTCGAGAAAAGTATTCATCCTTATCAGCTGAGGATGTTACGACTTCGCATTGATTAAACAGAATCGGAAATGCTGATTTGCAGAGCTGCCAATAATCTTTAGAACTAAACTTGCGATATGCAATACGTTGTTTCATCGATCAACAAACAGTAACTTTGCTTCATTGACGACACACTGGCACGAGCTGAGACAGGGACATTTGTCGCAATCGGACATGTCGCTTCAGTATAGACGGAAGAAGTGATTCCACTGGGTTATAGCGGCAGAGCAAGCAGGTGAGAATCAAGGAAATGAACTTGGATAAAAGCCTCGATGCCAGCATTTACCCAGGAGACCTCAGACACACATTTTTGTACGGGATGATTAAAAATCACATTCCAAGGTACGTCGCGAAGAAAGTCACTGAACGAGTCCCAGTCTGCGCGTTGATAACAGAAATATATTCTGTTGGTAGGAGGTACATGGCTGGACAGAGTGTGTAAGGAAATGTTAACAGAAACCACCGCGTGATCAGAGTTGCCAACAGGGCAGAGCTGCGTAGCGTGACAAGAACCGGGGATGGAGTTAAAACAAAGATCGAGAAGGGAAGCGTTACCCCTCCGGGTTACAGAGAAATCGCGTAGCTAAGGCAACCACCTACATGATGGATTGAGTGATTGAAATGTTAAGGGTTTGGATGCTAGCGAGGTCAGATACAGAGTGTTTAAGCCACATAGTATGGTGGCGTTAAAATCACCGAACACGAATATGTTTACAAACGGATGTACATAGTTTTGTTTTTATTATCAGAAATGCTGCCGAGTACACAACAGTCTTGAGAGGAGGGAAACAATACAGAAAGAAGATATAGCTTACTGAACAGAGGAGAGATACACGGAAACACATATACGAATGGTCTGGAGATTCCGAAGAGAGCTCACGATCCAGCGGGAGATGATCATGGACGTAAACTCCCAGCTCATGGATGTGGAATTTAGTCCTTTCTAAGGTGAGGAAGGTCGTCAGGAATCAAGAGAAAGGGATTGACGGGTTAAGGTTGGTCTCGCAGAGCGCTAGTATATCAGGAGCCTTATCAAGGATTAACGATTCCACACTGAAGAATTTGGTACGAATACCAAGGATGCTGGAGAAAGACCTGTTAAAGGGTTTAGGTGATAACATTTTACCTGCTTTAGGTTTATATTTTTCGTTGCTTATGGTTATGTTGAGTTACGTTGCTAAGGAAAAGGCCTAAAGTAACAGAAGCAGTCGGTCATCAAATGTGACATGAGCAGAAAGGAACTCTCTCTCTCTCTCTCAAACACACACACATACACGCATATATATATATATATATATATATATATATATATATATATATATATATATCAGTTTCGTTAAAGACGACCGACAAGATACTGCGATTAAGATTTAAGTGTTTTCTTTTCTGTACATAAAGTATGCAAAAACAGTCCAAAAATTCGGAATATCCAAGCTTTTTCGTCTATTTCGTTCTTTTAGTGGCCGCTAACAGTTGTTCTTCGAATTATTTTAGAGGCTTTTGAGTGGGAATAATTGTGGATCTGGATGCAGACTTTTCGTTATTCGTATTGTTAGTTTAGCACACACACACACACACACACACACACACACATATATATATATATATATATATATATATGGAAAAGTTTATAGTTTCTGCAATAACAGAGAAGTGTGTATCTTAAAAAGAAGAGAGAAAACGCAAACGTTTTTGGCTGTAATGTGGTTATTTTTTATAAATATATGTTATGCTTTATTTTCCATAATTTTGCAAAACGTTTTTTCGGGTCACGCGATCTTCATCAGACAAACAATAGATATTTCCACATAGTATTAAAATGAATTAATTTTCCTTATGTTTTTCGATATTAAACCTTTTTTGTGTGGTAGTGACATAAATTTCTTTAAGGCAATGCCAACGGCGAGGCGACACCTCCCGGTCGGCAAGGAAGTTAGAGTTATCATTATTGGCACCCAATAATTCTTGTCAGTGGAGGAGGGTTGTCGAAGCTTAGTTTTACTGATTTCAGGGCCAATGTCAATACAATCAAAGAGGGATGGTAACCCCAAATCGTTCAGTGCGTTTGGAAGCTCGGTCAACCCACATTTAATGTCTGCGATCGACGTTTTGAACTCTTAATCAGCCCGAGGGCCTTTACCAGTAAGACCCTATAGGAGGGGGACCAGCACTATTCCTCTCTCAGGGGGATCTTAGGGAAACCTTATGAGAGTCATCAAGTAAGACATTTACATCACTACCACACACAAAAAAGACAAAGTTTAACATCGAAAAACATAAGGAAAATTAATTCATTTTTATATTATGTGGAAATATCCACTGTTTGCTTGAAAAAATCGTGAGACCCAAAACACGTGTTGCAAAATTATGGAAAATAAATCATAATATATATTTTTAAACAAAATACACACTACAATCAAAAACGTTTGCGGTTTGTCTCTTCTTTTTATTATATATATATATATATATATATATATATATATGTGTGTGTGTGTGTGTGTGTGTGTGTGTGTGTGTGCGTGTGCAAATATAGAAAAATAGGAAAGAATCGTCAATGTTCTTTACTATTTTTGTTCTTAATTTTAAAAAGCAGTGCTCAATACATAAGTAGAGCCTCAATTATAATTATTTCTTAAAAACATGATTCCATCTCTACATAAGAGTTCTCATGTTTTAAAAAACAAGGAAAAAAAGCCAGCTCTGTTTCATCCCCAAGTTGCTTTTGGAAATTTCTAAAATTCGCCTGTGGATTTAACAGAGCTGGTTTTTAGCTTGTTTTTTTTCCAAATAATAAATCATATTTTTTTTTTCTAATTATAATATATATATATATATATATATATATATATATATATATATATAGCATTAGAATCTGTTTTTCTTGGCTACCAAATCCCAAAATACTATCAATGCGAATCATTTCTAAAGTAATTATTAAACCCTGACAGATTAGAGAAATTGCTGCTAAAAAACAAAATATTTTGAATCAGTCTTTAATATCTCATATAATACTGCTATGTAATTTTATTATCTAAATTTCCTAAGACATCATCAATTGGTACTTTAGAACTTCGGCATTTATTTGAAGCTATCGAAATTTCATATCTTCTTAAAATTTTCTTGATTGTATAGACACTAGAAAATTTGATCGAGCTTTCCACACAATTTACTTATCTTTATTTAGATTGTCTTCAGCGCTTCACTTTAGGTCTTTGTGTGTCTTTCAAGGTTCTGTGCATCTACTTTAAGTGCCAGAACTGATTGCTTCGATTCCAGGCAAGTCGAATTGTCCAACCTTTTGATTCTTGTTTCTAATCTTTTCCTCATGCACTCTGGTCACGTATTCAAACCTTGTTTCTGACACTGAAGGGCGGATCTTTATACTGCATCATTATTTCCTTACTCCAGTGGAATGATGTCTCCAGTCCTTCCTGAACGACAAGACACAATCAAGATTAAAAGGCGCCTCTTCTATAGCGATATCATTTAGGTGAAGCAACCAATAATTCTCCAATTTTTCTTACCTAATGTATTCTGTTTTATACGCTAAAATCTTTCTTTCTTGCTTGCTTTCTTGTCCGTGATTCTTTTTTGCTTACTTACTTTCTTACCCATGATTCTTCCGTTTTTCTATCTAGAATTTCCCTTTCTTTGTTAATCAATAATTTCCCTTCTTTTATCCTATATAGATATTTTGCCATTCTTTCTTTCTATCTTTCTTTTCCTATCTATAGTTAGCATTTCTTTCTTTCTCTTCCTACCTATTAATTGCCTTTCTTGCTTTCTTTCTTTTCCTTTCTATAATTTGCCTTTCTTCCTTTCTTTTCCTATTTATAGTTTGCCTTTCTTTCTTTCTTTTCCTATCTATAATATGCCTTTCTTTCTTTTCCTATTCATAAGTTGCCTTGCGTTTTTTGCTTTTCCTATCTATAATTTGCCTTATTTTTATTTTTCTTTCTTTCTTTTCCACTTTTACCTTTCTTTATTTCTTTCTCTTCCCATCTATAATTTGATTTTTCCCTATCTAAAATTTCCTTTCCTTTCTTTTTTTTGCAGTCTGATTTATCTTTTCTTTCTTTCCCTATCTATAATTAGCCTTTCTTTATTTCTTTTTTCTTTCTTTTCCAATCAGATCTTTCTTTCTTGTTTTCTTTCTTTCTTTCTTTCTTTCTTTCTTTCTTTCTTTCTTTCTTTTCAATCTGAATTATCTCCCCTTCTTTCTTCTCTAGTCAAAAGCATAATGCAAATTTATTTAATTAGTTCCACTTTTTGAAAGGAACTTTTAATACTGTTCCATAAAAGTCGATGCTCACACGAAGAACAACAGAGTGTGCGATTAGTGTTATAGGTTCGCTTAAAAGTCATTAAGAATTAATTCTATTATCTTTGGGCTTGAATATTTGATCTTTTTTTGCACTGGAAGTATAAAGGTTTACAAAGATTGTTCTAAAAAAGATTTAAAAAAAAAATTAAACAAAATTGAAAAGAATTCAGGGATTGTGAGTTACATGTGTATTTTTTGGCTGACTCATCCAACAATGCCTAAAACAGTACTATCTCCAAATATAGTCGCATCTTCTTATCCGTAGGTTTTCCACCACCAGAATTAAATAACCGTGTATAAAAATATTACGAAACGTATTTTTAAAAATTCCAAAAAGACAACACTCAGATTTTCCTCCCGTTGAGTATGCCCTTGTATTATGTATCTCTCAATCAGGGCCATCATTCCTATTTCCTAAAAATGACCATCAAAATTACCACAGCTACGGAATAGGTGCTATATGAAGAACAGACGCCAAATACGAGGACCATGATCCCCGTATATCTGCTTACGTGTTGGGCACCTCGGCGTGGTGTTATGGTTAGCAACCTTGTCTCTCTAAAACAGTTACAATTGAATAGTGAGTTCGATCCTCACTGGGTGCCCCATACTTTCGTTCTTGTGCCACATCTAAGCTACTCTTAGAAAATCAATGTATGTGCTTACGTGTTGCAATTGCCTACAGTACCACTTTAATTATCACTCTGTATAGTCCTCAGGACGACGGAACTGTAATGTTTGACCGAATAGCTGAGATGATTAATAATATCCCCACTAAAAATCCCTCAGATTTCATACTTGTGACGATTTATATATATATATCATATTTACCACAAAGAAATAAAAATGGTGAAGTTATATACACCCTTGTGCAAATTAACTCATTTGATGTGGTGTGCAGTAATATGAATCTAGTTTCGGGCTGTATAATGAAATTTGTTTGGCTTTGAAAAATATTGCGTCATCCGAGATTGCATCAGATTTTTACCACGCCCAGACACTATTGTTTCGATTGTCGTTTAGTTGTCTTACGGCCATTGTCTACGATGGACGTTAATCCAAGGAAGGGTACGAAAGTTGTAACGCAGCACGACCACATTGGCAAGCCTTACCAGTGAGCAAATGAAAATACAATAGACTGGACTGGAAACTCTCCTGATTTAAATCCAATCGAGAATCTGCTGTCAATCTGCAAGGAACGACTTCGTAGAATGGACATACGAAGTACTAACATGAGCACTGGATCATGTTTCATTTGAAAAAGACGTAAAACATAAACACTAACGGAATTATTTGTTTTGTTTCAATTAATTTTCAAGAGGGTGCCCTTTCGAGACTTCTCCATCGCCAGCGACTGACACACTTGTGTTCTTGACGCAGCAGACATCAGGCAAATCTGCTTGATCTCTTCACATGCTACCCTGAAAATGCTTCGCTGAAGTTCTAACCTCAGCTTCACACAATCTTCCGATCATTCACTAGTGTCAGTGATGATGCCAAACCAAAGGCATCTACTGATTACAGAGGATTCTTCAGGACAGGAAAACCAGCTGGGATAGCTTCAGATCTGACATGGTGGAAACTCCTCTTTCAACCTTCTTCAAAACTGTTGCCCGCGTCTCGGAATGAATCTTTTCTGGAATAGCGAGTTTATACCTCGGATAAGATTCCAACAAAAAAGCGAAATGACAGCCTTGGTACACCCCTGAATATGCTGCAGCCATAAGTCAATCTAATCACTACTACAATATTTATATCAGGGAACTGTGCAGTAGGACAATTGCTGCATTCAGAACTGTCCGCAAACACTGCAAGAGATTTCTAGAAAATGCAATGCGTATTTATGCACAAGCAGTTCTGGCCAATGTCGAAAGCAAAAAACTTGTATCCCGGGAGTTCTGGAAAATCTTCCGTCGAATTCTGAAAAGAGGCAAAACGTCAGTGTCTACTATTATAAATAGCCCTGGGGTCATTTCATCCTCATCAGATAAGGCAATTTTCTTCGCCACGATCTTTGCGTCTCAACGTTAGATGACAAAGCCTATAGCCTTCCTGACCCCCCACTGTCTCACTGAGCACAATCTCAGTAATATTTTTATCACAGCCCGGGAAGTCCCATGTCTTATAAATTTTGACCCGACGAAGGCTTCCGGTCCAGATAAAATCCCAGTGCTAGTCTTTAAGAATATTAACCCTGAGCTATACCCAATCTTAGCGAAATTATCAAACCTCTACTTGAAGGAGAAATCCTTCCCAAGTCTTCCGTCCTGGGTATGACGGTAAACTACATCCGCGTCCTGAGTAAGACGATAAACTAAATCCAATAGCAAGGCTTCTTAACTCCTGGTGTTCCCAGGTCCACCCTGACCCGTTGTGGTAGCACCTGTTAGGGTCCCAACTTCGAGGAAATAGTTAACCCCTAAACATGGTGTTAAAGCACTATGAAAGTGTAAAAATAGGTTTTAATACCAGCAATACATTTTTGAAGGATAAATTATCACCAGCAAGACATTTTTGAGAAAAATAAATATTACCAGCAATACATTTTTGCAAAAGATATTACAAGCAATAAAAATCTTGTCAGCATTAAATAACCCATTGAGGTTGATATGCCGTAAACCAAACCAAATCAAGTCTTCGAAAGGTGTCAAATGTATTCCCACCTTTAAAGAGTACAAGTGAGAGCTCAGTATAGATTCATCAACATCATGAGTGTAATTAGCAAACTTCTGAAGCTATAATCAACAAGAAGATTGTTAGGTTGTTGGTCGCCTCAATAGGGATAACCTTGTAAGGGACAACCAGTTCGGGTTTCGATCGCCCACGTCTAATACTTATATCCTAACCATCATTATTCACAGTGCAGAACTATATAACAAATATATCTCAATGGCGATCGAATTATATATTTCAAAGCCCTTTGACAGGTTGTGGCATAGAGGGTTACTACAGAAGATCTTTAACTATGGGATCAATGGAAGACTCTTCTCAATTATTAAGTCTTTCCTAACTGCTAATTCCCTGAAGGTAGTCGTAAACGGCTAGTCCTTCGAGACCCAAGCAATCAACGCAGGCGCCACCCAAAGCACGCTTCTCCTCGGATTAACGCTATGATACGTCTTTGGTTAGTAAAATATTAGCCACTTCAATTTAGTCCTCCTCTTACGTTTCTGCAATTCATTTTCTAACACTTTGAGTGGTTTTGGACATTGTGGTGTGTGAACAAATAATAAAAACTCCAACCTGGAATTACACCAGAACAACGTTCATGACACAGAAGACGACAAAATACAGAAAAAATACAACTAACCAAAAAAAAAAAAAAAAAAAAACCAAAAACGGGACACTTTTTCCAGGTAGTGTAATGTAAATGCATCGTACTTAGCGACTGGAAAGCACTTAAATAACTGTCTTCATCTACCGACTCTTCTACAGACTTGAATATGGTATAACGATCTATTGTCTTGAACGTTTGAACTTCTTCAAACTGAAGATTAAATCAGCCGATCCTCTAATCTCCGAAGGTATCTCGTTTCACACGAGATTTCCTTTCTCGTACGTACTCTTTTTGAATTAGTAAAAAAAAATCTTCCACCTCTTCATTTCGATTTTGAATTAAAATAGTTTTTAGTTTTTTTCGTCTCTCCAAATTTGGCTCGTGTTTTTCACTTTGCATTCCCTCAAAATATTCCAGATCATTTAATGCTGGCAAGTGTCATTTCTCTATCTTTTTTTTTCTAGAACGCATTTACAAATAAATTATTTGCATTTCCGAAAGCAATGGCAGAAATCAATATTCATTACAACTAAAACTAAGTTACAGAGTGTGTATCTCCTGACGATCCCTAAAACAAACTAAATATATATAAGAATATACATAATTAAATGCATTAAGTCCGACAATTATTTAATAACTTTTCTGCTTATAAATAATGCTATAGATACAATTTATTTAAGTAAATGCTCTGTTTTTAATTAATCATTATTAATTGCATTAACCGACCAGAATGTTCGAGAAATTTCGTAGAAAATATGCATTCTCCGACAGGAAATGAACCTGTATTGAACCTATACGGAAAACGTCATTTGTATGACGTGCTATACCATTTAATAACACGTCAGAAAAATCACGGTTTCCCTATAGGAATACAGGTTTCATTTCATACAAAGAAGCGTCTAATTAGCAAAGTCCAAATTACTGTCTTTAAAAGCAATTTTCAATGATTTTTCTCGATTGATCATATCTGTTCAGGAAACGTATCTTAACGTAAACGTTGACAAGATATAATAAAATTATAACAATTATTTAATATATTTTTGTTCATACGTTATTTTTATAGATACAATTTATTTAAGTAAATGCTCTGTTTTCAATTAAGCAGTATTAATTATATTTACGCGTTCTCAGGATACATCATTATGGCCAGTTTGTCTTCTAGCAAAGCTTGCACATCCCAAACCCGGTGACCGTTTTTTTGCTTTTCAATATATCCCATTTAATGTTAAGGCCTTTATATTTTTTCTTAACTCCGATACAAAACAAGCAAGTTTCGTACTATTCCTGTGACTTTCTAGGGTGGGTGGTTATATCACCTCATTTTAAATACACCCCCTACCATAAGAATCCAGTATATATGTTTAAAAAGGGCAGAACATTAAAAGTCTAAGCTTGATGGGAGCTAATGTAAACACGGCAGAGAAATGCTACAATTCCTGAAATAAAGTCGAGTTTCGGTAAATGGTAATTCTAAGGTAGAAAATGTGGTGTATAGGACCATTGTAGAGCACCGAAATGGCCAAGAAAAAAAAAACTTACTGTTTAACGAAACCATCTTAGTAGAAATTGTAGTTGGTAAGATTGAATTTATAATTATATATATATATATATATATATATATATATAT